GTATACATACTTATGTATACTTTTTATTCTAAGGAAAAAATAGATAATTTTTTCCTTAGAATAAAAAGTATACATAAGTATGTTCAAATAAAATCTGTGAACGAAAAGTAGTTGTGAAATCAATTACTAGATTTATTGTCGAGAAACGCATTATCAGACTTAAAACAATTTTATATGTATATTTATAAAATGTTTATTAGCCAATGAGGTAACCAAGGTGGTAAATGTTATCCACAAAATAAAAAAATTAACATTAGTTTTAGAAGTACGTTATTAGGACGTCAATTCTTTCCCACATATCGTATCCACTCTGGTCAAGTTGTAACACACTTGGCTGGAGATTCTCCAGACCAGGTTCAAAACTCCTTAGTGAAAGTAAGAGATGCCTTTTTTTTGGTAGTTACTAATTTATGTTAGCTATTCTAACAGTTTTTATGCAGAAAAAATGTTAAAATTTACCGTGTATGTATATAGATAGTAATTAAATACATTTGAACGACTGGTTCACGAACTCTTATGAGAACTTACATAAGAACCTACATAAGAAATTACATAAGATCTTATGTAAGTTCTTGGTTGATAAGCAAATGTAAGATCGTGTACAAGTTCTGATACAGGTTCTATTTAAAGAACTTGTATGAGAACTTACATAAGAACATATGTAAGAAATTACATAAGAAACTATAAAAGAACTTGTATAAGAACTTATGACAAATTTTTAGCTGGCCAATTTTAAAAAGAATCGAATCGTTTACAGTTCAGAAAAGTGACAACAGATAAAAAGAGCCGAGGGCTTTTAGGACAATGTTTTTTTTTATCTTCGTATATTTATAGTGGTTAAAAAAAAATTTATGGGTTGTAAATTATTAAGAAATATACAGTAGTTTTTTAAATCAATTTTCTAGTATTGTATGAGTAAAAACAATTAAACAACCTTTCGTAATAATTGAAGATTAAAAATAACGTCCTTTTCATGTTCTATAAAAAAAATTGTGCCACAAGAAAAAGTTTCAAAAATTCATTTATTTTAACTGGGTTACGAGTAAAAATTATTGAAACATTTTATGATAGAAAAAGGATTTTTTTAGAGAAATTTAATATATATGGATTTGGAGAAAGCTTTTTGCTAATTTATTTGCAGCGATTTTAATTGTACTTTGTACATTTAAAAAGTCTCCAAGCCTAAACTATTATTTTTGCAGGATTAATTTCAGGAATATAATTAAAACGTAAGCATCTTTTTATGCACGATAATCGTCGTAAGTATAGAATAAGTAATACAGGACCACTTCCATATTGCAGGTTATGGTTCCCAGACAAGGCCGAACATTTATATAATACATGTATATATATACGCACAGTGGTGGGTCTTTGGGCGCGAAATGGTACATTGGGTCACTGGGGCATTAAGTAAAAACATAAGCGCCCAGGGGTCCGGTTGTTTTTTTTTGCACGAGTGACGTATATTATTTTCCTTACCGAGGGCACAAAGTGCGACCCAAGGGCGTAAACGCTCCGCCGCACTTTTTGCCCATTGTAGGAAAATTATATTTTTCATGGTGGTCATTCATTTTGAAAATGGAGGAAAAAAGAATTTGTTTAGTTGTAGATATCAGTTCGCAGCTTTATTTCTTAAATATCAACTTTTGAAGACAGACACTATGAAAGTTTTATTTCAGTACGTATAATGGTCTTTGACAACTGCGAAATAAGCTGTACAAATACTGTACAAAACTTCGGCTCACTTTATTAAGAAAAAAAAGTAACTTTTAAAGCAAACAAATAGCTTCAGGAGGACGAATATATACTTCATAAAAATATCTTAAATCAATAAATTATGGAAGTAAAACATTATTACAATATGAAAAGTGCAACTTTTTGATATGCGGGCAGGTCACTGAACAATATTCATGAAAATTTTCCAGATGAATTATTCAACAGCAAACAACTTCGTCTGTCCCATGCTAATTGGTGTAGATATAAGGCATATATTATAATGAGCATAGAAAAAATGGTCCATCTCTCTTTAGAGAAAGTTCGGTATTGGACATTGTTTATTGATGATTCAACTATTCAACTACAATTAAAAAAAAAAATTTGCCAAATAATTGACTTCAAGGTGGACATAATTTTTTTACGAGCTGTTTGAATCATTTCAAATCAGAATAGCTTAATTTCTTTGGGCACCGCAAGGGAGTTCTCTTCATAAATGAAAACCAAGCTAGTGATTGAGAAGGGTAGATAAAGGGGTGAAGGGGTTATTTTATGTAGTGATCTAACAATTTAACATAAAAATGAGCATAGTGACAAAAAAACGTATTTACACTTTCCTCTGATAAAAATTTGGATCAAAAGAATTGAAATAATAAAGTGGCGCGAAAGAAATAGATTTATTAGATTGTAATAAAATATATACTTTAATGGAATCTTTAGTTAACAAATTCATCTAAATATATTGCAAAATACAATATTCAGCGGGTATCATGGCAGGAGTGTGAAGTGCAAATATAAATATTTGGGGTGGGGGTATAAGTGCTACTCACAATGAATACACCCTATAAACATATTGTAAATTTTTAAGGTAGTTTTGCTTATCTGAATACGCTAACACAAACATTACATTTTTAACTAAACACTAACAGTAAGTTTTTCGCTAACAATTTCTTATGATTTATATAGAAAGTAATGCATGAAAAATAACAATCATGTTAATAAGAAAAGTTGTTATCAATAAAATTGTACTTGTTAATTATATTTTTTTTTTTGACATTGCAAAAAAGTGTTAAGTTACAAAGTGCTGAAAAAGAATGGGAAGTCGAAAAATACTGTTATATATTTTTTATAGGAAGTAAGCACAAACCCACGATTTGTGCACTTCTTACGCAAGGATCTTGCGCACTCGCCTGCACGCAAATCTGCCGCAATCAGGAGTGCGTCGAGTCAGAATGAGAACGCACTTGACTGACCGTCAGATTTGCACACTTCTTACGCAAGAGTCTTTCGCACTTGTCTGCACTCACATCTTGCGCAAATCTGCCGCAATCAGGAGTGCGTCAAATCAAGACGAATAACGCACTCGACTGATCATCAGATTCATGCACTTCTTACGCAAGAGTCTGGCTCACCCGTCGTGCATCAAAATTACTCTTGGAAGCAGACTAGATGTAGACTTATACAATTTCGCTGATGATGTAAATCTTGTGCAAGAAGTACGTAAGAATTGCAAAGACTGTGCTACCAGGGAGTAATTACTTAAAGATCAGTAGGTTAGAAAGCTGATACATCTAATGTAAACTAATGGAAGAAATCAACAGGAAGTGATGTTATTATTATTGTAACCTTTTTTTTAATGCAATTTATTACAAAATGAAAATTTATAGCACATTCTTGATCCTCTAAAGAATTAATAAAGCCTGATTTTGGTGAGATTAAATATGTGATTTAGAAACTAAAGAGGAAAAATCGGATCATGTGTCATTCTTTTGACATTTGATTTTACGTCTTTCTCATCCAATTTTCAATAAAGTCTAGGCTTGAGTTATGGTAAAAGTGCAGTTTAGGACACCCTTTGCGAAGTTAGCTACAGTTTCTGCAGTGTTGCTAACCAGGGGTCTTATTTCGTCACTCGA